CGTCAAAAAATGTTTATCCATTTTCTTGGCGTGCAAATGTGCCAATATTAAGTGGCATTCCATCATAATGCATAATACACAAGTATTTCATTACACCTGCTGACTGGATACAAGGTATGCCATCAAGGGAATCAAGTAAAGTTAACAGTAACATTAAGTTGTTCAAATGTGTCCCTGGATTAAACTTGGCAGGCTGCTTGCTACTATCTAGTGTAGATATGGAAGGCCCAGGATTGCAGTATGACTTTAATGGAGCAATTTCTTCCCTTGCCCCTTGCAAACCAAAGCGCTTACATCCAAGGAAGAATCTGTAGCCTCTTCTTGTAGCATTCTCAAATAGAGATTCACAATAGCTGTACAGTGTTGGCCAGCGTTTCCAGGTATAAACTGGGTCTGGTTGATTTAATTGTTCCACAAGAAAAGCATCAATTTCTTGGTATAACAGGTGGCTCTTTGTCAAAATGCCAGACTTGATGAAGACATTTAGCCAATGAGCAATGTAATCTTGGTTGACTTCCTTATTTATTCCAAAGGGGCATTCACAAGATAATGTGGTTCCGTTTGTTTTGAAACAGCAATCTTGATTAAATGCTGTTTTAAAACTGTTTCTCTTTTAATTTTATGCTATTATTACAGTGCAACTACTTTAACTGGAACCACTTTGATTTTTTATTTTACAATCATATTGTAGTATTCACATCAAGGTTCTCATGAGCATCAGAACACTATAACATTTGATTGTTTAATGATGTTATTTCACTGTTCTTTGAGAAAGGTTGGTTTTAATCAAGTGGTCCCAGTTTCAGTAGTCGCACAGTAATACTATTTTTTTCCTTTTTTCTTTCTTTCTTAATAAATCCAATTCACGAATATGAAAAATACTATTAAGGAAACAATGACTGCCACATAATGCTAAAACAGATTTTTAAATATTCTTATTTCTTTTGATCTGCTTATGTATATACATTATAGCCAAACCTACTGGAGTGTCCCTATCAAAGTTGGCAGGCTCAATCTATTTTTCCAAACCTAATTTCAAATTGTTTTTTTTATATTATTATACTTCTAAATTTCGAAATGCAGACTAAACTGTCAACCAATAATAATCCCGAAATCACTAACTGTGGTCTAACTGATAATGCTATTATAATAAAATGCTTAAGTAAGCATTCATAACAATATGTACATGTATGCAAGCAGACTGTGTTTATTCAGCTTGCCGTCAAGACAATGCATTTGATTTGAAGCAGTTTGAAACCTACATGTACAAGAATCGATTAATCTATGCAAATTTGAAAACAAATTTGAAACTGAGTTTGGAAAAATAAATTGAGCCTTCAAACCTTGATAGGAATGTTTCAGTAGGTTTGGTTCTTTACATATATAGCTTTATGGAAAGTCATTTGAGTGCATTTACTAGATGGAATTTCTGTTGCTTTACCCTAACTGTCCTCTCTTGATCCGTTTACTAATGAAATGGCAGTGTAACATGTGTAAAACAAGAGAATGAGAGTTGGTTGTATCACTAGTCAACAAACTTCCAGAGATACAGTTAGATAGAATAACAGTAATCCATCAATTAAATTTTCAATTGATTACATTTTGGTATATAGCATTTTTCTTATTCAGAATTAGACATAAACCTAAAAAATAATATGCCTTACCTAAATTTGGTCTTGTAAATGCCCCTAAGGAATATCACGGGCCAGGCATGCTTTCCTGACCCGTGGAGTATTAATGATTGATGATGGACAAACAAGTCCAGATGGAAGAGGAGCTTGAAGTAGTAGTTCTGCTTCAGTGATGAAGTTGTTCTTAATCCATGCTTCCAATCTTTTCAGCAGAGACACCCCTTTTGATGTGTCTAAATGTTTTTCCTTGAAGTGAGTACAAAGTGCCCTCATTTGGTTCATGTTACTCAAAACTCTTATTTCACCACAACAAGGACAAATAACTTGAAATGGGTTTATAACATAGTCCCCATTACCCAATACTGTCTTCATCCCAGATTTCAGGTTGTCAAATGCCAGGAGGAATCTGGAGTCTCCTTCAATTAGTGTGTTGCATCTGTCAGTCCATTTTGCATCTAAGAATTTCCTCTTCCTCTTTCCTGTATCATCATGTAAACCCATCTCCCTCTTCAATTCCTCAGACAAAACTTCCTGAGTTCTACTTTTCCTTTTTCCATCAAGTACAAAGTCTGGCAAACCCACATCCCTGTCAGTTTGCACTTTCACAGACAGCTTTGAATAATTTTTTAGTACTTTGATTGCATTTAGCAAACTATCATCATCATGTCCATCGATCTCAACAGAGATACTTTCTTCATCCACTTTGAACATGTATGTTACGGAAATCTTGCTTTGATTATAGCCAAACATTTTGGCAACTTTGCCAATAAATTCCTTGGTTGTCATTGTGGTGTCCACATGGATCATTTTATAGTATTCCGATGTCATACTTTTCACATTCCATACTCTATGTTCTACTGTAAAAAAAAAAAAAACAAAAAAAAAACAGACACATATTAGGGATATGTAACGAATCAAGAAGTTTTAATCTTTAAATAAAGCTTAACTATAAGGTAATAAGTTATATAAAGTGGTCTTTTCTACTGTATACACAATTTCTGTATGCTTATAGAAAACTATCATTAAATAACTTTACCTTGAAGTTATTAAGCTATATTGGAGTGATTCAGGAACATTTCCCATCAAGGTTTCTACGTTGAAGTGATAATTTTACTGTCTCTACGTATTAAACAAAAACTACCGGCCGCCATCTTGAAAATTACCCATAAGCACCTTAGCTTCTCCGTTCCCGCGTTTAATATAAGACCCAGGTCCCAGCTGAGAATCCGGTGCTCATATTACAATGAACAGTGCTAAAAACAACTTTTTTTAGAACGCCCAGCAGCTGCTTTATAATAATTATTTTTTTTGAACAGCAAGCCTTAGCAATGTTTGAATCAAAATTATCTGTTGTATTAAGCTGACTAGTAAATTCAGATCTACTAAATAGTGAGCTTCAACTAACCTTTTTCTTCCTTGTTTTTATCGGATGTCGATGGTGAGCCTTGTTTTCTTTGCAACTCAGATGTGGATCTAGAGCTGTGCGGCGACATTGAACGTCGATACGACCTGGATCTAGAGCTTCGTGGAGGTGACTTCGAGCGTACACGCGACCTTGACATTGAGCATCGTTTTGAGGGCGATTTTGAGCGTCTAGACGACCTGGATCTTGAGCGTCGCGAAGGCGACTTTGAGAGTACATGTGACCTTGAGCGCACACGCGACCTGGATCTTGAGAGTCTTTTCGAAGGTGATTTTGAGCGTCGTTGCGACCTTGAGCGCACACGCGACCTGGATCTTGAGAGTCTTTTCGAAGGTGATTTTGAGCGTCGTTGCGACCTTGAGCGCACACGCGACCTGGATCTTGAGAGTCTTTTCGAAGGTGATTTTGAGCGTCGWTGCGACCTTGAKCGCACACGCGACCTGGATCTTGAGAGTCTTTTCGAAGGTGATTTTGAGCGTCGATGCGACCTTGAKCGCACACGCGACCTGGATCTTGAGAGTCTTTTCGAAGGTGATTTTGAGCGTCGATGCGACCTTGAKCGCACACGCGACCTGGATCTTGAGCGCACACGCGACCTGGCTCTTGATTTTCGTTTTAAAGGTGATTTTGAGCGCCGACGTGACCTGGATCTTGAGCGGCACGGCGAATCATTTTCTGAAGAAGAGGAAGACACTGACAAACACGTGTCTGGCGATTCGCGACTTCTTCTTTCTTTGGTTACATCTCTCTCTTGGGTTTCTCGGGAATCAAAACTTGATGTGCGTGACTTTGGGCTAGAACTTAAGGACCGAGAATCTCGGTCTGAGCGTGAAAAGCTCATACTCTAAGGCATTTTTTGATAGTTTAAACTTATACTGATACTGATACCACACGTTCATCGAGTAGAGTGAAGTTGTGAGTCGGGCTGTCAGTCGATCAGCTGTCACATTTTGTGATTTGCATGCGCACGCACGACAGGAAATGCGAAATACGCCTGGCAAGTTTTTACTGGTAGACCATACGCGTAAAAGTACTGTATTTTGCTGAAGCTGTAAAGTCTCAAAGACATGTCGGACGAAGCGAAACATAATTTATTTGACGGGTTGACATTTTATTTCATTCAAAAGAAGCTCAGTAAGCTACAACATGAGATTGTGCGTGAAAAAATTATCAAATTTGGAGGAGATGTAGTCGACAACTTTAGCAGCACAATAACTCACGCTGTATTTCCTCGCAACGTAACCTTAAAACAGGGCTTAGAGAGCATGAAGTTGACCGTATTGCCAAACCACATCGTATCTATTTCTATGGACTGGGTCAGCAGGTGTATAGCTAATAACAAGAGAATCCCTACGACTTCGTACGAGGTAAGACTTTATTTTGCGCGGAACATTTTAACGCAGTTCCCCAACTTTTGGAACTAACGTGCTTGCGGGATACGAGCGACCTTTCGGGATTAGACGGGAAAGGACTGGTAACTAATATATTTTAATGGCGGCTTGTGCACGAGTTATAACTTTGCTTCACAATCTTTTATATAGATAAAAGAACGTGCTGTGGAATTTAAGAAAGTCTACAACTGTAGCAAAGAAGATGGAGAAAAAGATGAAAGATACTTCAAAGATATTATCACGTTTGACATCAGTGGAACTTCAAAATTCCCATCTAGTAAGGAAGTAGCAAATGCCTTTTCATCTGGAAGGTCACCAGAGATTGAACTCAGCGTCAGAAAAACATTTGCGTATGGATCCAAGTATGGATTGGGGGTATTTTGCGTGTTATTGTCCGGAGAACAGCAAATAGGATGGGTTCCCGAAAAAGATAGAAAGCTATACGAGAGGATAAACCTTATTTACCAGCAACCAAGTTTTTGTGTTAAGCTTATTAAGGCAACATCAAAAAGGATTTCTGAAACATTTTCAAGAATTGATATCACCATTTCTTGCAGAGTCAAGTAAATTGGCCATTGTAACTTCTTTATAACTATATTGTTGACTTGCCCCTTTGGTATATAGACTGGATTTACACTATACCATACCAAGTTAGTAAGTTATAAGCTTGTTACTGTTAATTTAGCTTGCTTTAATAAGCAGTCAAGGTTTAAATTTTGTTACCCACATTATGAACATAAATTTCAATTGCTCATTTCATTTTGAAATGTCTGCCCATATGTCTGCTTATTAAAATTTGTTGTAATAATGTTATTGTTATATGTTTGTTGGAATGTAAATTGCACTACAAACTGTATTTTACATATAAATGGCAAAGATTGCAAGAATTACTAAATATCTTAGAGTTTTATTTTTTTAAAGTATCAAATCAATACTCAAATACATTGAATGGTGTCTACATGTTCATGGTTGAGGTGTTTGACTGTAATATTATGCTTACATGATTTTGTTTATAGTTTGGTGCTTAAATTGACTTTGTGAATTAGTATTATCTCAGGTCTAGAAATATATTAGCAAAGTGGAAACACTAAGAAGGTTAATGGTAGTAATAAATTTATTTTGACATAAATAATATTGTTAAATAGTTGGATGTGTATTGGTTTATCAGAGCAAAAGTGCTGTCGTGTGTTAAAATCATATCAATAGTACTGATTTATGGATCTAATGGTTTTCCTCAACAAAAGGCATTTTCTAGCATTAACTTTTAATATTATTTTGATTTTCTATCTAAGTTTTTTTGGCTTAAATCGCCTAAAATCGCATTAAATCGCTTAAAATCGCACTAAAACGCTTCCTGTCGCCATAAAATATCACTCGAAATTGGGCCAAATTTTCTTAAATCGCCTTAAACCGCCTTAAATTGCCATATGTCGTAGTAAAATATGTCGATTTAAGGTTCCGGGGTAGGCCTTTTTGTGTCTCTGTCCTCAGATAAAACACTCCTACTCATCTTTTAAATATCACTTCTAAAACCCCAACCTAAGACTACAACATTTTAGTTTAACATAAAGTAAATAAAAAAATATCAAAAATCAATAATTGATGAAGATAGCTCCATCTGAGCATGAGCAGTAATCAACTTGGTCTCCCACATCCAAGCGCCACTATGTTTTAGTCTACTATGAATCTGCAATAACTGTATTTAAACTCGAAACCTAGTGCCTCTATGACGAGAGTCTAAACCTGAGAACTTTGGGCACACGTCGAATGTCTGTAAATCAGTTTTAAAACTCATGAATTATTCAATAGACATTCCTCCAATGAGCATTTAACTATGGGTCACATGACAGTACCAATAACTAAAGATATAAACACGGTGAGAATCAAGCTTGCTTCTTTCGTGTTTTTCAACTCCCACCGTGTTTATATTAAGGAATTTGAATTTTAAGAAGTGTATAGCTGAATCTTCTGACGAGTTCATTGTTCTAAGGGAGTACCTTGTAGATTAGAAGGCTGTATGATAATTTATTGTAATTTATTTGCGTAGTTGGTACAACATTTTGTATTTTGTAAAATGTTGGATTACAGTCCCCAAATGTGAAGTTCAAAACAACAAGGGTCGGAGTAGAGGATTGCACAATTTTAAAMAGRCTAGARGTGTAAAACGAGACACTGRAAGRGAATYAGAAAAGAGAAGGCSCAAAGAGTATGGAGGGGCGAGTGCTCATGAAGAAGACACAAGGATGCAAGATTACCAAAGGCAGGCCAAAGTATACCAATGAAAGAAAGCTTTAGTGCTTAGAAGGAGGCAATTCCGGGAGAAAGACCATTAKGAATAAATTCGGAAAAATTAATTTCCGACCTCGCTGGGATTCRAACCCACGACCTTCGGATTTGTACTTCCGATGCTCCACCAGYTGAGCTACAAGGCCAGACTGGGAGMAGGTTGGCCTCTAAGCACTAAAGCTTTCTTTCATTTCTATATCGTGTCTATCATAGTGCCATACGGTCCTCATATTCATATCTTTACAAAGTATAACAAGATTCAAGAAATGAGAGAAAACGAAGGCATTGATGATAACTTTAAGATTTTTGAAATGATAACTAAAGCACAGTTTCCCAACAGAGAATGACTGGATTGGTAATGATCGGCGGACGCCTAAACTTGCAGTCAAACCAAGACCTCAATTCTTAAAATTTCTACAGTTTTTCACCCTTATCTCGATAAGAAATATGGTCTATGAAATGAAGACTTTGAGATTACTAAAGAATTGAAAACAAGTATAAATTCTGATTTTGAGACTCATTTGGACGAGTGAGTGAAGTCCGTAGTACTTGAAAGAAAGAAAGGACACTGGTGGATAATTATGATATTTTCAATCAAAAAATAGCTGGGAAAACTCGAATACAGAAACATTTGATATATTCATCCTAAAATTTGTTCTGGTGTGGAATTTCCAAGAAAAAAACGACAAGCGAAGAGCTCTATTTCTCCTCAAGAAACGATGTTCTGAATGTTCAACTCGCAACCGGCTTCCTTCATTCTTGCTTACAAGCTTTTAAATATATTTTACTACTATGCAGGTATGCATAGTATGCTTAAATTTGTATGCTTAAATTTGTTTATTTTTCTACTGAATTCGCAAAAAATGAAAATACTAATTTTGTTTCTCAAAATCTAGAAATCGTGCATAAAATGAAAAAGTTGTTGGATACTATAGCCCTTCGGTCTCGTGGACTTCGGGTCTAATTGTTAAGTATCTAAAACATAATGGTATAACACAATAATGACACGATGACATTAAAAACATTATAATAATGACAAAAAAGCATATAAGTGACTTCAGAACAGTCGCAAAAACAAAGAGTTTCAGCATATAATCGACAGAATAGTGATATAACCGTCTAAGAAACGTTTAAAAAGTCTAAAATTATAAGAATTTATATATATGCAAAAGTGTAAAAAAAAAGTATAAATATGCCAATTAGAAAAAGGTTAATCAACAAGAATTAACTAAATCTTATATT